TGCTGAAATCAAAACAAATTTTTCTATTCCTCAATTTAACTCCATCCCAAGACCCAATTTCTGTTGAATAATAAGTATATTTTTGACCAACATTCCACATAATAACACTTTGAGAAAAATGGAATTTATGCCTGACATTGTTTTTAGAGAACATTTTAAAGAAAATAACCTAAAGGATGACAAAGTTGAATTTTCCTTTTGAATTAGAAATACACACACACACACACACACACAGGAAAACTTCAGATCGATTAAACCCTTTGCAAGTAGGGAAAATATCTGTAGTTTAGAAAACTCAGGTAAGGATGACAGAAATAAGCACTTAGTTTGCCTATCTTTAAAATTAATTTTTATTTATTACCATAATTTTACCTTTATGAATTAAGATGGATAAGTCACTGTAGTAATCTTAGATTTTGGCTGTAAGATAAGTGAAAGTTACAAGTTAGAGTGGCCTATATGATTTAATTTTCCTTCTGGAGATGAAAAAAAAACCCTAATCTTAACTCTAACCCAAACCCTAAATATACTAATAATAACCAGAGGAGAAGTTACTACATAGAATCCATTATTTTTCCTAAATTTGAAATGGCCTAAAGAGAAAATATTGTTTTATAATTTTCCCTTCTTTAAAATTAGAAAACCAGATCGGTGATTTGCAAAGTTCCTTCCACTTCCCAAAAGCTATACATTCTGGAACTATGTGTTAGAGGGAAGCCTGAAGTCAGCAATACTCCCTAGTAAATAAATTCTGGTGTACAAGAATCACTGCTACATTACAGACAAATAAGAAGGAGAAACAATAAATGAAGTTTCTCTGTGTATCTATAGGCTGAAATATTGTGACATTTCCATTATTCAAATTTTTTATATACAAACACAGCATTTTTATATAGTTTAATCTATTAGAAGGACATGGTTGACAAGAGTAGGAAAATGTACTCCAAATATTTGCTATATCAAGTTTCACACTCCATTTATCACATTTTCTTTGACACTTATCCCGTGACAAACTGTGTTGACTAAAATATACAGACATATACCTGTGGTATGGAAAAGGTTGCTTTAGGATAACATTCATCTATAGGAAATTAAGGTACCAGGGTGTTACTATATCATTTAGTCAGGTATCTTTCCAAAAACTTTAAACACTATTTTAGACTCAATAAGTGAGTTGGTCAGATTGGGAGAAAGTGTTTTCTTCTAAATTTTTACATAGTGAGATTTCTTTTAGGTGTTTTAAATTTTATTTTATTATAGACCCAAAAAGTTCATGGGTATTGGATTTCTACAGATATATTAAGATATTCATTTCATGTGCAGGGTACAAACATAATTTGGACAAAATGTATTTAAATTGTCAAAGTTTTTAAGAGTAAAATGAAATTTCTAAAAAGATTTAGAATTGGAAATTCCACCTGCATTGGAATGTAGTTAATATTATCTGTTCAGGAAATATCACCTGTTCAGGAAATAACTAACTAAAAAATAAATTTCCTAAAAGATATTTAATTCTGTTTGCAAATAAAAATCAAATTAATATAGGTTTTTCAAACTGATTAATATTTAGTATTGTCATTTTAATGTATGTTGATTATATATATTTACATATATATAAATTAACAGAATAAATAAACCTATATGCAATATTGTACATATGGGTATATAGTATACAAAATATTTAAAATATAAATATGAAGAATTTATGTTATATTAATATAAAATATATATACAAATATAAAATATAAAAATATATATTGTGGGCTAAATTTTATTCCTCAAAATTCATGTTGAAGCCCTAACCCCTTGTACCTCAGAATGATTGTAGTATTTGGAGACAGGGTCCTGAGGAGGAAATAAAGTTATGAGGTTATTAGGGTGAGCCCTAATCAAATATGACTGGTGTCTTTATAAGAAGAGGAAATTAGGACACAGATATGCACAGAGGGAAGGTCATGTAAAGATACAGGGAGACAATAGGAATCTGTAAGCCCAGGAGAATGGCTTCAGAAGAAACCAAGTCTGCCGACACCTTGATCTCAGACTTCTAGTTCCAAAATTTGACAAAATAGATTTCTGTTGTTGAAGTCACCCATCTGTGGTACTTTGTTATCACAGCCCATACAAACTAGTACAATATTTATTATTGTATATAAAACCAAATTAATTTTACAGTTTTCACACTTAACATTAGTAATCTTGCTCATCACTGTAAACCCCTTGCCTAGTCCCATACCATGCTTATAGAAAATGCTCAATAATCATGAACAAAATAAATTACTGAACTTCTAAAGAGAAATTTCTTCTGTTTATGCCAAAGAAAAACATTATTTAACAGTGTAGAAACATAGATATATTTGAATAAAGTTGCCTACCAATTCCTAAATAATATGGTAATTGATTATAAAAGTTTTGCTTCCATTTAATGCCTATGAAAAAACCAATGAGTTTATGAATAATGATGTATAAGCCCTCAGAGTTTCTGAAGGGTGTTTTAAGGTATTAAAAAGGCTGACTTGAGCCCTAAAATATTAACAGTTACTCTAAATGTAAATAGTCTAAATATGCCATTAAAAGACAGATATTAACTGAATGGATTAAAATATATAACCCTGTCATATGTTGTCAACAAGAAACTCACTTTAAATAAATATGATGATAAAGGCAGGTTAATAGTAAAAGGATGGGAAAAGACCAGTCATGCAAAATTATTCAAAGGAAAGCAGGACTGGCTATATTAATATCAGATAAAGTAGGCGTCAGTGCAAAGAAAATTACCCGACAGAGACACTGTATAATGGTAAGAGTCAATCCACCAGGAAGACATAGCAACCCCAGAAGTGTATGTGCCAAACAACAGGTCAGCAAAATATGTGAAGCAAAAATCAAAAGAACTGAAATAAAAAAATTCAAAATTACATTTGTAGACTTTAACAACCCTATCTCAATAAGTGTTAAACAACCACAGAGAAAAACAACAAATATACAATAACTCAACAACGCCATCAACCACAAGATCTAATCAACATTTATAGAAAACATCACCCAACAACAGTAGAACCTATTCTTTTTAAGGACCCATGCCAAGATAGATGATGTTCAGTGCCATAAAAAAAACACACACAAATTTAAAATAATTCAAATCATATACAGTACATTTTTCACCCACAATGGAATCAAACTAGAAATCAAATTTTAAAATGATAACAGGGATATCTTAAAACACTTGGAAACTAAAAACATTTCTAAGTAATACATAAGTCAAAGAGAAATACTAATGGAAATATTTAAAATACATTAAATTAAATAAAAATGAAAATAAAACATCAAATTTCTGAGACAGCTAAAACAGTGCTGAGATGGAAAACACAGCATTAGGAGATCAATGGGGAGGGGACATCTATAGTACTTTCAACAACAGAGATAAATTTTAAAAAATTAAATTTAAAAAATAAATAAATACTGCATTGGAAAAGAGGAAAAGTATCAAATCAATAATCTAAGCTCCCACTGCAAAAATCTAGAAAAAGAAGAGCAAAGTAAACCCCAAGCAAACAGAAGAAAGGAAGTAATGAAGACAAAAGCAGAAATTAATGAAAACAGAAAAACAGTAGGAAAAAAACAATGATTCTTAGAAAAAAATCAATAAAATTGGCAAATCTCCAGGAAGACTAACAAAAGAAATAAATTAAAAATTACCAATATCAGGAATTGAACAGTCTAGATCTACCGTAGACATCAAAAGATTAAGAAGGGAATACTACCAACTCTATATGCATACATTTGACAACTTAGACAAAATGGACCAGTTCCTTGAAAAAGCACATGAATTCCTATCAACAGTAAACTCAAGATGTATCCAACTTCAACCCCTTTTCAGTTCCTCCACCTGTACCACCCTGGTTCAAGCTAACATCATTTTGTACCTGGATTATTGTAATCATGTCCTATATTGCTGTTCTGCTGCCACCCTCGTTCTCTATAATTTACTCTCCACAAAGTAGTCAGAGGGATCCCATTAGGAAATTAGGCCAGGTCATCATAGTCTTCTGTCCAAAAACCTCCAATAATCCAAAAAGCCAATATAATTACAACAACGTACAAGGTCCTACGTGATCTGGGCCTTGGTAGCTCTCAGACTTAGTCTCTTACCACTCTTCCCCTCATTCACTGCTAGAGCCACACTNCATTCACTCAGAGAAAAAGCCAATATAATTACAACAACGTACAAGGTCCTACGTGATCTGGGCCTTGGTAGCTCTCAGACTTAGTCTCTTACCACTCTTCCCCTCATTCACTGCTAGAGCCACACTGCCCTCCTAACACACCAATCACACCCTCCCAAAGACCACCTGTCAAGTGGTTCCCTCTGCATGAAGCATTCTAGAAATCCGTGTGGCTAACTCCCTCACTTGTTTCAAGTTGCTTAGATTTTACCTTTTCAGTAGGCCTAACCTGACTCTTCTGTTTAATACTGCATCCTGACACCAACACCATCTCTCACACACTCTCACATTTCAGATCTTCTTTACCTAGCTCTACTTTTTTCCCTGTAGAACTTAATATTGTTTAACCGGTCATGAAGTTTATTAATTATGCTCTTTGTTTGTTGTCTCTCTTCCCTCAGTAAAATGTAAGCTCCATAAGGAAAGAGGTCTTTTTTCCTACAACTCTGCTTACCACATAGTAGGACACCTAAAAATATTTGCTGAATAAATGAATTCTGATTTTAGTATTATATTATTCATATGTGCTAAAAAAATAGGCAAGCCAAATATTATATTCACTAATTCTACATGTTGTCTTCCAAGCTCAGCAGTCTACCAAACTCATAATGAAAAATAATATACTTTGAAACTTAACATTAAATCCATATTTATTTCTGAGAGAGTTCTATGTCTTACTCATATTAACACTTGCTTTTCCATTTTTTTTGTGCTCAGAAGAAATGAGTCAAACACAAAAATGAAACTCACAAGATGTGGAAAGATTACCCTGGGTATCACAGTAATGGTGATTGCTGCAGTAATCATCGGACTCATTGTTCATTTCATCACTTATGGTAAGTGCTCATGATGTCTGGCTTTCCAGTCACATGGATTTAATTTCCCATCATTGGAAAGTTAGGAACTTTGAGACTGGGGGAAGGAAAGGAATCAGATAAGATTATTTGGCAGAGATAATTTCTATGGTTAATAACATTTATTGCAGTCTTTGTTCTTTAGCAACATTTGGCATAGGTCATTCTGACCCCAGAGATGTGGTATGCACTTTTTTAAATTCCTAGTAAAGATTTAGGAACTGGGAGTACATTAATAAATAAAGTAATCATAGTCTTTCACTGTTGAACTTACATCTTTCTGAAGAGATAATGAATGCATTAGCAAACAAATATAAAAGCCTACAATCTAGAATTCTAAGCTTGATTCATTATTTCAAAACTTATTATTCTCTATACTAAATTTTCTTCTCATAAAATTCTCTCTAAAATGTAGATTATTTTCCATTAACGGGGGATGAAAAAAAAGAACTTACAAATTTTTGTACATATTTTTCATAAAATAGAAAACAGTATGGGATCCTCAAGTCTGATTTTTCTTAAAAATAGCTTTTTGTGCCAAGTTCTCTGTGTCTGAGCTTATTACTTTCTTTCATCTACTCTTTCCTAACCTTTTCAAGGATGAGGACTTCTTTATAAAAAAACAAACTCCTACATTTCCATAAGAGAATAATTACTTTGTTGAATAATAAAGATAAACAAGTACTGTAACCTTAGTAATGCTTTTAAACACACGTAGTTATTTAATTAATTACATCTACCTATATCTGAAAATCAGTAATACATATATGTACAAGAAGCACACATATATTGTTTATTACACCTAGAACAGCAATGCCTGGTGTGTATATATGTAAATACTTTCCCCTAGAATCATCTCTGCTGCCACCATGCCCCTATGCTATATAATTCATGGCTCACAGGTTGTGAACTACTGCTTTAAAACATAGTATTTTCTTAAAAAGTTAGAAAAGAGGCTGTCTAGCTAAATAAACATCTATTTCAGTTTATAAGGAGAAAAACATTTACAACGAGAGAAAAACTAAGCATCTACTACTGTCTACTTCATTTTCCACACACACCCTTCCAGAGATACAGGCTGATGCCGGTGCAAACACAGTCATTAGGTACATTGTAATGCCAGCTGCTACCCTGACAGACCAAGAGTCATAGTCATAGCATATGCCAATAAACCTTTGAATAAAACATGCTCACCCAAGACAGCCACAGAGCCTGCTGCCTTTCATCAAGAATGTAAAAGTGCCAGGCACTGGAGATTTAAAAAAAGATATTTGAAGAGGTTATCTTTGGAGATAGGTAAGCTGTGATTTCTCATACTGATACAACCACCCTGGTATGTGGAGTGATTTTCCCTTCACATCAAGCTGAGAGATGGGCTTTGAATGAGAGACCAATATGACTCGAAGGAGACCCTTACAGATTCAGGAGCACAGTGGACTGAAGTCTGACTCACATCTGGAATATCTAAAGGGCAAGAGAGTTGGAGCTTGTGTAGCAGAGTGAAGAGGAGGTGGTACCTTGGGCAGTTTGAACAACCAGAGTCTTTGAGACAAATAATGCATAAGTGTTTCCTATGAAATAGACATAGACCACCCAGAAAAAAAGGCTCCATCATCTTAGGACCTGTCCAAGAAGCCACCTTGAGTGATCATCAGATTTCAGGTTAAAGAATGGGAAATATCTCCAGCTGTCTCAATGTTGAAGAAGGAAACTCAAACTGGAATAGTTGCTTTTGTCCGTGAAAGGGAGCTGTAGTGGAAACATCTCCAGCAATCAGTGAAACGGGCATTTCAAAGTTCAGTAAAACCCAGAAGGGCCTTAATTTTAAATATGTACTAAGTTCATAGAACACCAAAGCTAGATGCCGAATTCTCTAACATTCAAGTAAGGACCTAGAGGGATCCAGATCCAGTTAACGAAACAGGAAAGGAGGAATAGAAGGACTAGTGAGAAAAGGCTTGGGGAAGGAGAACTCTCAATTTTATATCAAGCTCAAATTTTTATTATGATACAGACCTGTGTATTTTAATTTCTGAATTGAGGCCATATTTTGTGATTAACAGCAGCCACAGAACTTTTTTTACTAAAGAACTTTAAAAAATGGTTTATGGTTACCTCCTATGAAATATACTTGTTTGGAATACCAGTTTATATATATTTGTGCAGATGTATATAATCATCACTTTTGTTTTATTCTATAGCAATTCAACACAGATAGTTTCAGTGGGCCCAGGAGAAACTAGTCACGTGAGAATGAATATGGGTCCTAATATATTTAAGATCTCACTCTTGGGTTTAGTCATAGTAATACCCATTTCCCAGACATTATAAATATTAGTGGGTTATAAATACTTCTAAAAAGAAGGAAAACAATCCAAAATTAAATACTCCTGTATCAGAACAATGAATAAGTTTCATTAATAATGTAAGTATCTCAAGTCATAGTAAACCTGTAGAAACAATAAGAGAATCATTTGAGACTGTGTACTTTGATAGGGCTTCCTAAGTCCTAGAGTTTATTTCCTTTTAAAAGTTCTTAAATGGTTTGCCACCTTAAGTCTGCCTAGCTGATGCCACTATATCTTGTATGAACTAAAAATTTAAATAAATAAATAAGATTTTTTTAAGAATCTATATATTTGTCACTAAACAAAAAAAATCTCAATCTGACTACCTAAATTGTATACTTTTTTAAAAATATATACCTTTATTGATTTCAGAGAGAGGAAGGGAGAGGGAGAGAGAGAGAGAAACTTCAATGATGTGAGAGACATCACTTATCAGCTGCCTCCTGCACGCCCCCAGCTGGGGATTAAGCCCCAAACCCAAGCATGTGCCCTGACCAGGAATCGAACCACGATCTCCTGGGTCCTAGGTCGATGCTCAACCACTGAGCCATGTTTGGCCAGGCCTAAATTGTGCACTTTTAATCCAGATGCTTTGACATTATATAGAGGCGGCCTATGATGCTCCTCATTTAAATGAAACTTTCAGTATCATTTTAGATTTTCTAGTTCACTATTCCAGACTCCAAAGCAGGGAGCAACCAATCATCTCTTCACAATAACTACTCTTACCCTTGGGATAGTAATTACTTAAACACAGTAACTGGACAAACCAAAGCACAGCACAAATATTCACTCCAAAAAGTACCTTTTTCTACTTCACATGACTCTATGTAATGGTAATGTCATATTTTCTATTTAGTTAACATTTTAAGAGATACAAAGATAATAGAGAAATAGATGGGTAAATAAAATGGGAAAAAGAATAAGTGTCTAAAACTATACACAGATTCAACTCAACAGGCATTCACTGGGTGACTACTATGTACTTAATGGCAGGTACTAGGCTAGGCACTGTAATGAGAGGATAGCAGTAACGTTGGAAAGCTACTAGAGCATCGCCTTAGCCCTTGCACTAAAATTGCTCAGTATATAAAGCAGAGTCAGCATACATTCCCTGCAAAAGACCAAACCTGTATATTTGCCTCTTGGTGGGCCATTATAGTCTGTCTCTATCACAACTACTTGAGTCTACTGTTGTGGTGCTAAAATAGCCAATACATAAGTAACTGAATGTAGCTGTTTTCCAATACAACTTTATTCATGGACACTAAAATTTTAATTCCATATAACTTTACATGTCTCATATATTCTTCTTTTGATTTTTTTTCAACTTTTAAAATATATAAAAACCTTAGCTCACAGGTGGCAGGCTAGAATTCACAATTTGCTGACCCCTGATCTAGAGCAGTGAATTTTAACCCTGGCTGCACTTTAGAATCATCTGTAAAGCTTTTTTAAAAAAAATAAGTGTACACAAGCCCACTCTCAAAGATGCTGTCTAGAGTGGAAATTGTCATTTTCAAAGCGCCCAGGGAGTTCTAATGTGCAACCAAGGTTGCGAATCACTGATCTAGCGGGAATCAGATAGACATAAGATTCAGATACAAATAAGTTCAGAGGTCAGTGACCCAGGTTCATATGTCACTACAGGATGGCAAGGACCCAGGCTCCTTCTAATCTCTTTGCTCTGCCATGACCTACTTTGCCAAGATCATCTCAATGTCCTAAGTCACTGTGCCAGTTCTGGCCATCCTGTTCACATTCCAGCCAGACAAAAGGTAGAAACAGAAGTAGAAGTGCATGCCCTCTCTAAGTAAGAAAATATCTCAGAAGTTGGCACATAGCACCTTCCCTTTCATTCCATTCGCTAAACCTCAATGCACTAGATGTAACAGAGGCAGGAAAGTGTAGTTTTTACTTTTGGGTAGTATCTTCTCAGTTAAAAGTCACAAATTGCATCACTATAGGAAAAGGGAAGAAATTATATCAATAAATAACAGGTGTGTGGTGTTTTCCCCCTCCAGAGGTTAAATGCTATTTCAGTAGGTTAGGCTCTGAGTGACTGGTGAGAAAATTGACAGATGAGACTGCCAGTAAAGTTTCTGTATATGCATGGAGAAAGTTCATCTTTCTTGCTGATTTTCTCACTACTACTATTTCAGAATAATATTTCCAAATCTTCCTATGCTAACTATAAACTGTTAGCCCTTAAAATAGCAACTTCACTTTCAAGGAATAGGAAACAAAGAGTCTAGGCAGAAATAATTTCCTCTCAAATTCAAACTTATTTGTTTTCTTGCTTTCAAGGGCATAAGTGATAAATATGTGAGGTTCTTTTCCTGGAGTGTCTCTTCAGTGCCTAGATTGTTAACTCTAATAGATTCTGTAAAAGGCATCTCTTTGACTCTCTGGAGGAACGTATGGGAAATCCTGGCCTGGAGAACTACTTTCAGCAAGTCTTAAATGTGGACAACCGAAGCCAAGGATCGAAAATCTTTAAGGTGATTCATTTTTTAAGATAGCAGCAGCCAAGAATGGGAGCAATTAGTTGCCACTAGACTGTTTAGAGCAAATAATTCACCGTATGTGAGAAAGAGCTAAGTGTGGAACCATAGATACAAGGAGAATTTCACTGACATTGTCATCATTTCATTATAAACTCACAATAAATGTATAAACCTGACCACACACACACAAAAATTATATTTCT